GGGGGGGGAGAGAAATGTACTAGCATATGAATTTAGCCTGGATATTATTAGATCTAACCAAGACAAAGAAGGATCATGTACCTCTATAAATTAATGTTGGTAAGTGATCCTTGAAAGTCTGTTTGTCCTATTACAGCTATGATCCTATGGACACTTAACAATGAGTAAGCCCTTTTGGGATTTGTTACTTCTTGCATAGGATTTGCCTACAATTTAATTGGAAGAGATTTGGAAAGTATTGGTGTTGAGTTAGAATTTCATGATAAGAGTTTCCAAGCTATGGATTTACTGGTCTTGTACATTTTGTTCCCAATTATTGTTCTACCCACTAATGTACTCTGAAAATCCGATGCTCTGCTCCCTTATCCTAGCTGCTTATCAACTCCCAGTGCTATTCTCTTGAAGCTATTGCACAGTTCTGCTGTTTCATAGTGAATTGCTCATTTGTACATATGCTTGCACCTTAATATACACTTATTGATGGAACTAGCTGTCTGTGCCGGGTACTAATAAAAGAGTCTGTTACAGGCCAGAGGCTTCAGTCGGCCAAGTTATCTTTAGCACCAGGGGGAAGCCTAAGATTAATTTAAATTACAACAGTCTGAGTGTGGCCAGATCACTTTGTTTTTAGAGCTGCTGTGGTGCTCTGGAACAATTTCTGCTGTCCAAGTTCCTCTCCTTCACTGAATATTTGCTTCTAGTTATCTTCCCTCCATATCCATCAAGAGTAGATCATTGCTGTTTCTTAAAGCTCTTCCTAATACAGTTTGACAATTTTCCTGCAGGCTTTTAGACATTTGACAGCAGTCTTTTCCTTCTGCGCTTTTTGCTAGGTTTGCAATGTCATCTTAAGCAGGCCTACTCAGAATCTTACTCAGGTCTATTCCATGGGGCTTACTGCCAGGCAAGTGTTCTTAGGATTGCATGGATAACCTCCTAAATCGGGAGCCTGTTTAGTGGGGCATCATTCCAAGTAAATATAATTAGGATTGGACACTGCAATTCTATGCATGCCTAGTTGGGAGTAAGTCCCATTGATTTCAGTGGGACTTCTATTTAAATATGCAAAGAACAAGGCAGATAGTTGACTCGATTGCTCTTACACGCTAGGAAGTTACCAGTCATGCCTGTAATACATAGGATTTCCCCCCCACTCATTTTATGGCTCCTTTTATCGCAGTTGTTACTGTAGATGAGATGGTTGTTTGGATTCTAAAAGTTACGGAAAAGCACTCAAATACTACTATCAGTTTACTTATGAGTCTGCATTCTCTGATCTGACTTTGAGTCCTTCAGGTACACACAAGCAGTGTGTTTCCTGTTGGGAATTCATTTCCTAAGTATACAGAGCCCTAATTTGGATTGGGACCATGGCACTTGGGGAGACAGGGCTTCAGCTTCCCTCAGCATCATTTTTCTTACCTGAAATTTCTCCAGGGGTGGTATTTGCCCATTGGGAGCTTCTTGTGTACTGATGGACTACACTTACATCCTCCCAGCAGGACAAATAGAGCCCTCCAGGGCCATTTCAGGTAAGAAAAGGGGTGTGCACTATGATCATGTTCCAAACTGGGTTCCCATGCATTTGGGAAATGAATTCCTAGCAGGGAACTCACTGTCGATGTGTGACAGATTGATTCAAAGTCAGGTTGGGGACCCAGACACAACCTGTGGGAAAATGTGAGATGTCATTTGACCCTAACATGGCTCCTCCATCTGAATTTCTATTCTGATTTTAGGATAAAGATTTTTAAACAGTTCATTATAGAAGTGTCTATAAGCTTTCCCCCTCTTTGGTTCCTTTCCTGATTTATCATAACAAGCATGTCACACCATAACTCTTTCAGATTGAGATCATATAAGCATTGTTCTCTTTAGTTCTTCAACAAGCTAGTTTGCTAACCTTGGATCAAATCCTCTAGGGTATAGCTATATGCCTAATGTTTAGTTTTCATGGCTTCGCCAAAGTATCCTAGAAATGGGAATTGTAGTTTGAGGGTGCTGAGCACTCTCTTAGAGATCTTAGACCCCCCCCCCCCTTTAGTTCCTGAATTACTTGAGGATAGGGACTTAGAGATAGCCTCTGATGGCAAGATGAAGATGTTCCTTTATCACTATCCTGAACCCTGAACCATGGGCTCTAGTTTTCTCGAATAGCATCTTTCTGTAAAAACAAACTTCCCTAATTAGACACCAAAACATCTGGTATCTAAAATTTGCTTCCTGTTTGCCTTATAGGTAAACTGTGCTAAGATCTATCTACAGTAAACTAAAACTGGAAAGGAGACC